TTTCATAAATCTGGTTATCACTTGGGATTCATCTGCATTACATTCTACAAGGCAAAAGCATGTCCTACTGGCTATACCAGTCAATAGATCGTATTTGTATTACAAGGAGTGTCTGATAGCCCACTACACACAATAGAAAAATTCCCATTAACTTTAGTCAGCTTTGAACCAAGTCCGTAATGCCTAGCACATCACTACTTTATAGAAATTGCAAGTATCTTGTATTCATCTAGAGTTTGCACTTTCTATTGAAAAGGCTCCAAATGATCAATACAAATCTAGTTTCTAATGAAACCAAGGTACCTAAAATACACACTCTGAATATTAGCATGTTTCCTGAGTCAACTCAGGTTGACTACCGGGAATTTACAGTGCATGTCTTGAGACAGCAAAGCAAACAATGATTAATACCAACTATTTTGTGAATACAGATTTCTTCTCACGTGATGTAAACATCAGGAATAAAAGAAACAATAAGCAGAATAGTGACCGCTCACAGATTAATATTAATGTATGAATTTATGTTTACATTTTACATTAATCTTATTTTAGTCAAAAGGCTTGTTGAGACAAGTGAAGTCATAAATTTGCAAGCATATTTACACGAGTAGTTTTCAATGAAAAAAATGATAAAAACTAAAAATAATCAGAAGCCTGGTTTTAGCGGGTCATAGGCTTGATCAACAGCCTTTCACATCTAGGGCTAAGGATATGATTGTCATATTCTATAGTTCCAAGACAAATAATTTTCATGTAACAACCTTATTATTATCCCAGGTTTTTAACAAAAACACACCCATGAACTGAAGTTGCATCTTTATATGAAAAGAACATCTATCTCCAATAGGCCAAATAAACCCCAAACCTACCTATGACAGTGTATTAGTTAAAATACTGAATATAAGACAAAATAAATTGCATTATGTCAACAGTTTTGTACTAGCCAGAAGTCCTACTGCAAGTTTGTATGAGAGAACCTACTTATGCTCAGTGTAAAGGCTAATGTTTTGAATAATCATGTCCCATCCTACAAGAAGCCTGCATGGGGATGATAGCTGAGCTATATTAATCTAATTTACACAACTTGGAGATTTAACGAACTCTGCTATGCCACATGGAATGACCTAGGGACTTAATTCAAGATTAAAGGCCTGATTCTCATTGCCTTCAGAATGCCAGCTGAAATTCTGAGGTCAATTGCACTGTCATTATAAGAGAGAGAAATTAGCTACCTCATTACCCTAGTAATGCTGATATTTCCATGGGGAGAGATGCTCTTACTTTGGCCAGCTCTTTCCAATCGGTCTTTTTCCTTTATGTTTATATTACAAAACACAGAGCTGGTTTTAAGATCACACTATGCAAGATATTCCACAGCTGCATACATATAAATAGACACACACACATAAATATATATATACACACACATATATAATTTGCTTGACCTCAAAAACTACATAGACAATTAGCTGACACTTTAGCCTGTTTATTCCTGTTAAATGGAATGTTGATATAAAACCAGTCTGGAACTACCAAACACTTCCAGTTGGTTGTATCTTTCTACGTCATCCACACCTTCAGAGCTGAAGTGACACACTTATTTTTATATTCATAATCACAGACATCTTACACAGACCAATAAATATTTACAAACATGGAGAAATAACACATATAAGGAGCTGGTAGCTTTGATGGTAGGGAGCAGCACTAGAACAAAGCAGCTCTCAGTTCTTCTGGGAGCTCTGGAGTGTGCTGCAGTATAAGCACAAGCTGGGTAGAAAAGGTACTGCCTGAGAACATGCTCTTGACTTTTGACATTTTTTTATCCAACCAAGTGTTACCTGACGTCACAGATTTATCAGGACATATCCTAACTAAAAGGAGAACAATCTTACCTGAGAAAATAACTACTGGTATTAAGTATACAACAGCATAGTTTAAAACTATACATGAAACAGGGACAATCTTCCAGCTCTTATAACAGCCTAGCACACAAAACAGTTCACTTGACACAGAAAAGCCCTTTCCAATAGATGGAGATTAGCCTATTCTTTAGAGTTCAACTACCTGTTACAATTAAAAGGTATTTAATTTTCATTACTGAATGGATTATAGTTGCAGAATAAGTATGTTCAATGCATTTTGCAGAAGTTTGAAAAAACTTAGGGTGAGGCAAATATCATTAGCCACTCACAAGTCCTCCCAGTAGATGACTTACCAATGACTTTTCCATTTCTAATAGTGCAACAGTCATGTAGGATCTACTTCTACATGAAACGGGTTATGACCCATGGGAAATAAGTATCTTCTGATTAAGGCACTCAATTGGCCATTCAGTGATAGAATCCACAACAGAGTCCCTTAGGGATTTTTAAAGAAATCGGGTTTTGTCTCCACACTTTGTATTTAAATAGCACTAGTACCTTCTACCTTCATTAGGACCTTACCTTTCTTTATGTTGTTTGGTATGTATATAAATAGTCTGCCAAAGGAAATGTCCCTTTTCTGGGGATTATACCAGACCCAGGCAAGGACTAAAATAAGTGATTTCTAGTCATCCCTTAATGGTGAGGGATAAATAGCTACTGACTGAAGTATGCATCTGAAACAGGTCAACCTGAAGGACCTAGACCTACATATTGAAAACATAAGTAATATGTTTGTGTTGATATTGGTTAAGTACACCAAAACACACAAACAAAGAAAAACCATGCAACAGAATCAAACAAACAAAAGAAATCATTGGGAGAAAATGGGCAGTCTTATCTTTACAAGTAAATCCACTCTTGCAAATGAGAAGCATTTTTTCTGGAATATTTATTGCTTGTGTGTCCTTCTGCAGTCTGTCACAGGAACACAACTGTTCTCAACCTCGGGTTTTAGCAGCCAATATGAAACAAAACAGCACTTTCAAGTCAGACTGAATGCTTGAGGCTCTGAGCTCCAAAGCAAATCTACACTTATGCATTTGATACAAAATGTGCTGGCAATCAAAAATGCTTAGGACACCATAAAAAGAACACCTGGCTGGCATCTTTATGGATGTAGCTGATTGCACATTACATTCTAAAGAACAGAAATCCAGAGTCTGGAAAAAATATTTTATCGTTAATATAACCTAGAAATTATTCACTACTACAGAGATCCTTGCACCAGGATCTCATTTTCTTCTGGCACTCAAAAAAGAAAATTCTGCCCATTCTATAAATCTCCTTTCTATTTATGCCCAGCAGCAACCAGTGCATTAATTTTAATTTTCTTAAGTAGTAACATTCTTACCATAGTTAAGTGTTTTAACAGTCATCATATGTTAGACTTTAAAACAAATGTCTAGAAAGCTTGACAGATGGTGTTTTGAAGGATAATGCCAGGTACCTGGTGTGAATCTGACATTAGCATTCTCTCAGACAACTCACCTTCATCTTGTAAAAAAATCAGTGAAATAATACATAGTCCTACTTATGCTACGAAGGAATGAGAAAATCCTTCATTTATTCAATCTCACAGTTGCTCAAAATGCAACTTCTACATGAACTTGATACCTAGAAAAAACAATTTGTTTTCCTTTTACTTTTATTTGCCTACTTTCGGTTTGTCCTTCCTGCATCTTCCTCCTTTCCCAGACACACGCACACTCTCAGAGGATACTTCCCCCCTCTGGGAAAAGACCGAACTGCAAGGTTCCAAAAATACATTTCTCTAAGAAATAAGGACTTAGTTTATGGTATGATTACTAAAAAAACAACTATAAAAAGCAGCATGGCTGCCTCTTTAGCAGCAAGGCAGCTATGACAAAAGGGTACTAAATGGGTCTGTATTCATACTGAAATTCAGTATGAATTTCAAAGCTATCAAACAGAAGCACTCCAACAAAACCTGGACTCAGTATCTTCATTCACAATCAATAAAACATACATTAAGGAAAGACAATATAAAAACTGCTGACAGGAAAAACACTTACTGCTTAACATTGTAAATCTGAATTAGTTATGATTTTCTTTAAGTCATAAACAGAACTTGGGAAATTATTTGCCACCTCTGAGTTTATTTGAATGTGTGACTCTCAAGGGCCTGACCATATATTTCTTTGCTTTAATCTCTTTTAAAAGCTTAATAGGTTGTCTTGATTTATGCATCATTCTTTACAACTTCTTTTCAACATTAGGTTCCAAGTTTAACAGGGATTTTATAAAGACTATTAAATATCTAAGAAGAAAAACGTATAAGAGGAACCTAATGGATTACACTTTTGGCAAAAGTTAAAACTCCATACCACGAGGTCTTCACGCAACCACTATACTGAGCAATTATTAAAAGAGAGACTAAATGATAAACTTTTTAAAGAACCTTTAGGTGAGGTCCAACTAAAATTCTACTCCAACTAAAGCAAGGAAAGGAGGGCGAACTACACTGAGTAACCAAATGTTATAACCAGTGTATTCTGATCTCCGCACAAAACCAAGAGGAAATCATCATGTCCTGGATGAAACTGTCATGAAATTGATAAGCCATATCAAATCAATGTCTGACATCGCGCAGTCGACTAAAACAGCGCCGCATTAACGGCATAATAGTATCACCATATAAACCTTATTATTTCAGCGTGGAAAACAGGATATAACGAATGTAATGAGACTCCAGCATCTGTCTTTGTGTAAGTGAGCCCGGGAACCAGGGGAGCGCCTCCCGCAGAGGCGACCCAGCCGCGGCAGCGCCGGCGCACGGCGGGGAGAGAGCGCGGGCGGCGGGGAGCGGGGCACTCGCTGCTGCCGCCGGGGCTGCCGCCGGACGGGTCCCTCGGCGCGGCTCCGGGGCGGCTCCGGGTGCCCGAGCCCCGAACCGCCGCCGCCCCGAGCCCACGCGCGGCCGGGTCCCGCCGCGGGCCGCCCCGCCGCCCACCGGCCCGGAAACCCGAGTTCGCTCCCTGTCAGTCGGCCGGGGCCGCCGAGCGCCCACCCCGAGGAGCGCCCCGGCCGGGGGAGCGCGGAGCGGAGCCTCACCGTCTTCCAGGAGGCGCATCGCGTGAACAAAGCAGGGATCCAGGCTGTCCTTCTCGGCCATCAGCTCGGGCAGGTACTTGTCCTGCTCCATCGCGGCGGGCACGCCGGGCGGGCTGCGCGGGATGCCGGCTCGCCGCTCCGCGCCCTCGGCCGCCCGCTCGCCGGTGGCCGCGCCGGGGCCGCCCCGCGGGTGCCGCCGCCCCTCGCGCGGCGGGCACTGCCCCGGCCCCGCCTCCGCCTTCCCCTCGCGCCGCGCGGGGGCGGGCACGTGCGCGGGTCGCCGCGCGCCGCTGCTCGAGCGCCTTCACCCCCGCGCCTCCTCCTCCCGCCACTGAGCGGCCCGCGGCCACCCGCGGCCTTAAGTAGGGAGGCGGAGCCAGCCGGGCCCCGCCCCCGCCACTCCCATTGGCGGCTACACCGCGCCGGGGGCAGACTCGCCGTGCCATTGGCTGTCGCCAGGCGGGGCCTGCGGCTGGCGGCCGTGCGCGGAGGTGTGTGCGCGCGCGCCTGTGTGTCTGTCTGTGTGTCTGTCTGTGTGTCTGTGTTGTGGTTTAGCACTGGAATTACCCAATTTACTGCTTCCACTAAAACCACGCTGCAGGTCGCTCTCCCCACCCTTTCCCCATTCCCCGTGGCAGGCTAGGGAGAATGATTGGAGGAATCGAAGGTAAAGATCACCAGTTGGAATAAGAACAATTTACTGGAAACAGCAATGAGATAAGAAAATGAAGAGTAACAGCAATGATACTAAAAATAAAAGTGTTCGAGAGAACAAGTGGTTCTCATGCAAAATGCTCAGAATCGAGGTTACCCCACCGCACCCACCCCGCGCTCACTGGACCAGAAGGAACCCCTTTTCTAATGAAGAGACTCCCATCCCCCATAAGTCCCTCGCCGGCAATGACCCGAGGTGATAGCGGAACAGCCTCTGGGTCCTGGCCATGTCCCCTCCTGGCTACGGCAAAAATTAACTCTGTCCAGGCAGGAACCAGCACAGTCTGTGCGTCTGTCACTGTGTGTTTGCCTGTGTCTGTGTGTCTGTCTGCGTGCAGCTGTGTGTGCCAGTTCCTGTGTCAGCGCTGGTGCGAGCACCTCTGCTGTCCGTGAGTGGCGCCCGTGGTGCCGGTGCGCGCACGCGTGACCGTGTGCGGCTGTGCCGGTGTTGCGCCTGTGGGAGCGCGGGCGCGTGTCCGTGCTTGTGTGTGAAACAGTTGTGTGAAACTCTGTGTGTGTGTGTTTGTGTGAAACTGTGTGTGTGTGCGTGAAATTCGGTGTGTGTGCGTTTGTGTGAAACTGCGTGTGTGCGTGAAACACTATGTGTGTGTTTGTGTGAAACTGCGTGTGTGCGTGAAACACTATGTGTGCCTTTGTGTGAAATTGTGTGTATGCGTGAAACTGTGTGTGTGTGCATGCACTTGTGTGAAACTGTGCGTGTCTATGAAACTGTGTGTGCGTGCGTGAAATTGAGTGTGTGTGTGAGAGAGAGAGAGCGGGCTGCGCGGGAGAGGCTGTGCTGCGGAGCTTTCTGTGAGCCTGGCGGTTGTCTCTGTGCCCCAGAGCGCGCACTGGGTCCGTGCCCCTGTGCCCGTTTGTCCACGCGTGTCTCAGCGTGCCTGTGCCGCCGGTGTCGCTGCGTGGGCCGCCCTGCCCGAGCACGCCGGTGATCTCCTGGCAGCGGCGTGCTGCGGCCGCGGCCCGGCGCGTGTTGCCGTGTCCGTGTCCCCGCGCGGGGCCGCGGCTCCGTGCCCGCCGCGAGTCGCGCCGCCCGCGCGGCCCCGCCCCTCCCTCCCGCGCCGCTCGCCGGGCGCTGTCCGCGGTGCTGGAGCCGGGAGGAGGCGGCGCTGCCCGGCTCTCTCTCCTTCCCTCCCCGGCCGTGCCTCCCCCGAGCTCCGCCGCGCTCCCCGGGCTCCTCGGCCCTTCTGGGTCCGGGGAGACGCCTCGCTAAAGCAGTGCCGCATCGGCGGCGTGGCCGTGCTGGAGCTGCCAGACAGCTTCTCCCCTGAGGGTGTGATCAGCGCATCAGCGGCCGGGCACCGCCGCTCACAGACCGCGCCGAAAACGTCTGCCCGTGCCTGCTGTGCGCACCTGGAGAGGCGCAGCGGGGGCCTGGAGGTCCTGTGGAAAGGGCGATCTCTGTCGAGGAATGCCGTGCTGCAGCTCCCACGGCCACGCCTGACAGAATTAGAACTATTATGCAATTAAAGTGTCTACAGCTTTACGGGTAAATAAAATCTATTTTAATTAGAGTTTAGCTTTAAGTATACATTTACTTTAGGTTATATTTATTCAGGATTTTACCCCAACAGATCATACAGTAATGTGTTTTGATTTTAAAAGTAAACAAAAAATGTCTAAGTCATCTCAACTCATGAAAATTCCATTTGTGGGACCTCAAGAACAAGCAGTCTATGGCATCATACAACATTTTGTTCTCAACCCCTATGTCACATTTTTTCTTAGTATGTACCATTAATACTACTATCTTAGTATTTCTTCTAATGAAATAGACAGTTGTTGCAATAATACATTTGTGAATGGCCTAGTACTGTTCAAGTCTTTGTGTTTCTGTAGAGGAATTTAGATTTTGGTTTTTTGTTTGTCGGTGGTTTTGTTTTGGTTGGGGGGAGTTGGCAGAGGAAGAAGGAATGAGAAAGATAAAAATCAAAGCAAAATCTTTATAATGGCATCCACAAGGTTTTGAATGTGTTGTACAGACATTACATAAAGATTTGGTGTGTGATGTTTTCAAAATTCTAAGATACATACAGGCAACGTTTACGCAATTTCCACTCGTCATGCAGATAATTGAGGGACAGCATGTGTTTACAAAAATATGTAGAGAATGTCGGTGACCGATGCCTTATTATTCTGTAGTATTTCTAGAAGGGAGGGATACAATACCTGAGAACAAATCTCCTTGCTGAGAAAGAATAGGAGCAGAAAATTGTTGATTTCTACAAACTTATAAAACACTGAAGAAGCAGAGAAGACTGATAGCAGAATTGAAAGGTTTAATAGTCAATCGGCTTTTACTACAAATTGTGTGGGGGGATAAAGGGAAGACATAAGTCCTTCTTTAAAAAACAAACAAATAAAACAAAGAAAAGCGCAGAACTCAGATAGTTTATTAATAATTTACCCTGATTCAATTTACTGCATGAATAGTTCTCCTTTCCCATTTAACAGCGTAGGAAGAAATAGTGGTGTTTGCAACACAGCTCAGAGCTCACCTGTGCCATCAGATTGTATTTCTGCACCTCTGTTTTTCAGAACAATTTAGGCTGGTGCTCCGCAGTTCAGAAAGATAGAAGGCCTAAGATAGGTGTGTTCTCCTAAAGCAACTTCAAGATGAATGTAAGCCATCCCACCAGAAGTAATCCTGGTCTGGTAGCTTTCAAGACATACCATATGGGCATGTATATGTAAAATGAATTTTGGGGGTTTTCCATCTGGGGTGTTATAGGAATAATACCACTTTAATCTGTTTAATTGTACTTAACCTACTTAGATCACAGGAAGCTTTGATTTAAACACCTTTAAGTTTATAAAAGAGTAGGAAGTGCTAAATTCATTAAACTCTTTTTTTTTTTTTTTTTTTTTTTTCTGGTCAAAGGGGTAGACAGCAGGTTTCATTACACATCTTTTTACAGCAAACTAGACAGAAACAAGTTCATTTTTGAAAACTTATGAAGTTAAATTGACTTTCAATGATACTTAGGCTGCAAAGCCATTGAGTACCTTTCTGAATTTCACCTTATACCTCATTAATAAAAAAAAAAAGCATTAAAATCTGTCAGACAAGAAATATAGACTTCTAATGACATCAAACATGACTTCATTGCTAGTTGGAGATCAATTTTTTTTCACAGCACTACTAAAAACCAAAGACACATTTTACAACTCTTTAGTTTGAAGTGTCAAGACAAATTGAAGTTTATCTGTACTATATTTTTTAATGCTAAGTCTGATAATGAAGTGGATCACAGCATAACAGATTGCAGTTTATTCAAAGACAGAACAGGTAAAAATCAGTATGAATTCTTGCCAGTGCCATCCAAATACATTGTATTATCATGTAGAACTGAAGTCAAAAGGCAGTGGATCCAAGCAATTGAAGGAAAAACCCCAAATTTTGCATTTGCTTATTCAAAAATTATTAAATCTTTTAAGAATTTGCAGTAGAATGAATGGTCAGTGTGAGCTCAATTAGAATGAACTACCCTTCTGACACCTCGCAATAAATTTGATACAATAATTTAAATGAATAGTTAACTATGTGTGTGGGAGTAGACATAGGACCACATACATCAAAAAATCAGAATAGTCAAGAGTTTTGTATTTCAGAAATTCAATTTGCTTTCGAATTTCTTTACTGGTTCATTTGCTTTAGGTATGAGTAAGGGTTATCTGCTTCCTGAACCAAATGAGCATTGAAGAAAAAATAGGGACTTTCTTCTATAATCTAAGTAACCATCTCCTTCCCTGAAAGTAGAATTATAATAGACAACATATGTAATAAAGAGGCAGCAGTACATGTGCAAAAAAAGAAGGAATGACCCCCACATTCTTTAATATAGTTTATTTAATTCCTTCTTTGAATACAGTCTATACCCAGGCTCCATCTGATCTCTGCATGCTGTCCTGTGGATACCAGTTCTTGTACCTGGTGATTTCATGGTTTGATCATGGGGCAACTGAACATGCACAAAGGTTGTTTCCTTTGTGTAACAGCACAGTGTAACAGCACTCAGATGATGTACTGGGCTTTGGCCAGTGGTGGGTCCAGATGGAAGTGGCTACACTTTCTCCTTGTAGAGGCCAGCCTTGAAGACTCCCACACTGCCAACAGCTTACTGTGTAATCCAGAAGGCAAGTGTGCATCAGCAAGTGCACGAGTCACTGCAGATCACCTTCAGACTACCCCAGGCACAGCAAAAGACTCAGCCATACATGGTCCAGCACATAGATTGTTGATATCTGTAGTAAGTCCCTGATTTCCACAGGGTTTTGGTCTCTTCACCCATACAGCTGCATAAACACTGATTTTCTTAAATGGACACAATTCTTACAGATCAGTTATTAGTCTACACAAATCAAATAAATCAGCTTCCATTAAAAAAAATATATCAGTACTTACTTATTTCCTTTCAAGACATTAAATAGTTTCATAAACTCAGTGAACCTAAAACCCTAGGAGAGTTCAGTGTGAGTTCCAGGTGTAAAACAAATTCTGTCTTATGCTATGACTGGGTTTATGACACCCAGATTACAAGTTCTTAGTTCATCAAAACGAATAAAATTATATATGTTACAGCTCTAGTTCATATTAGCATT